GGCCATTTGTAGCTTAAGAATGAAAGAGGCATGAGGCTCTTGTTCGCAGTGTTTCTTTGATCCAGTGAACAGTGGGGATGTAGTTAGGTGCAAAACTCTTCACAGCGAGTACTGCCTCCAGCTCTGCAAACATCTCACCTAGGGTCTTCCATTTGCCAGACGCCCTCAGCATGTCCTTTGTAACCTTTGCACTTGCTGCAGTGATCCGTGATTTCATCGGTGCATTCAATCTGTGGTTGTACACCTGGTATTTCTCATGGCGCCAAAGAAAACATTCCAAAGGCATGAGGTCAGGAGAATGAGGGGGGCACACAGTAAGTCCTCTCCTTCCTCTCAGTGGACCTGGGAAATTCACGGTCAAGTAGCCACGGCCAATGTGAGCAAAATGAATAGGTGCCCCATCCAAAACACGGTTTGTGCTTCCTGCAGTATGGTAATAATTGAACTGATCGAGCAGAACGCGTAATCAAAGCCGCTGTACGTGAACTACAGCCGAGATGCGCGTACAACCTGTATCAGTGAAACTGCCTGAGTTTACCGTTACACTGCAACTGCCAACATCGTCACATCCATTTCCGTTCCTAAGTTTCAGGTGTTGGAAATTCCGGCAATCCTTCTCGTAGACCCTCCTGTAATATCTGCATCCTCAACTAAGGAAAAACAACAACCATAACGAAGTGTCGACATCGGCAAATGGAGATTTCCTGTCAGAACTCATTTTTCAAATGCTTAAAATTTGTTTCCAAATGCATCAATATAAGCTGTGCCTAATATACTATAATACTTTTGGACTTTTGGGTGCATGCGGTGGTGTAGTTGGTTGAGGCACTATGCTACAAGCCATAAAGTCGCGGGATCGAATCCCGATGAGGTGGATTTTTTCAATTGACCTAATCCTTCCAGTCGCAATATGGCCCTGGGGTCGACTCAGCCTCTAACAGAAACGAGTACCAGGAATATTCTTGGGGGTAATGGGCGGCCTGCACGTAAGGTTGACAACCTCACCGCCATCTGCTAGCCGATTTTATAGAAAATGTGGGAGCCTCAACATCTCAAAACCTTACGGGCCTCCACGGCCTGTTACAGGGACACCTTTACTTTTACCTTTTACTTTTGGAATTTTGGATTTGCCTATCACAGAGGTTGCGCTGTCTAAAGGACCCAATGTTTTTAACTCCCGAAAGCAGGGCTCTAGAGTTCGAGGCACACTCGGATTGTGGTTGTATGTCCTACTTTTCTCTGTATTTATGTTGTCGTGTGTAGGTAGAGGCCTTAAGCTTCGCCGCTCCCTTCTCCGGGAGTCCTACCAATTGTCTGTACGATTCATAATTTCAGAATTAATTCTGAACTGGAGCGCCATAGTACCTGCTGCATATGCTGTGTATGTTGAAGAAGAATTAGAACTGGTTCTTCTGAATTATGATACCGTTCAGTGTTGTATCAGAACCCAGAAGAATACAGTGTAACTCCTCACCAAGACAAGATCCTTAAGTCTCACATTTCATAAGTCTCTTTCTCATTCAATTATCCCAACAATAGGCCCACTGGGGAAGAAAATGTTTGGTGGGCTGCTCTGGTATGCAAATTACTTCATTCCGCTGACATCCTAATATTTCGTAGGTCAACATAACCTCCACAGTCACAGTGTTAACACAGAACTCCTGTCGTGGCTATATTGCCATGGTAATGAACAAGTTTCCTAACCCAAGTAACATTTGAAAACACGTCGAAGGAAATATACCACCTGAGTTAACAATGAAAATCTCTGTTTTTCACGGATTGTGTCTATGGGTTTCGTTAGATTTTCATGATAAACTTCAAATAAAATCCCTATATAGCATTAACAAATGTGTCTTTCAGTGGAAACCTAGAGTTAGGTAGAAAATAATTTTTAAATATAGTTTAGATGAAACTTGAAATAAGTCTTAAAAAGCATGTATAATAACAATATTAATAAAGCATAAGTTCAACCTGTATTTCTTAGGGGTGATCGACAAGAATCTGAGTTAGGACAAGGACTTCTTGAGTTTTATCATAATTTTCCTCAGTTCCTTCAGGCAAATTTTATGGGAGTACTTTAAATTAGGCTATGGACACTTCCTTCCACATTTTTCCAGCTCAATTTTTATTATAATCCGACCATTCGGGGCTAAACAGCCTGATTTAGCCTACTGACAGGCGAGTAATATCTTAAATTGGATATTTAACAACACTAAAAATATCAAGACTACACAGAGTTCGATGATAGGATGAACTGTGAAGTTGGAAGGATTTGAAAGGAAGTCGTAATGGCCTAAGAGATGTACTTTCCCTATATTTGTATGGAGACGCTCAGAAAACCACGAAAAAACTGTTAGATTAGTCGGGGTCACCGGCCGGATTTCGAGCCGAACAAAACACAAATACAAGTGTAAAACATTGTCACTGGACCAACCTGTGCAGCAAAGGGATTTCATAAAATTCAAATAAATAAGATAAAATTAAAGATGTTCTTCTCAGTTAATTAACCACCACATCGTAAAGACATAATTTGAGTGGAGGTATAGCTCCACCATTCTTGATCTAGGCACTAGACTGAGGTGAGTGGTCAGTTTCACACCCCGGCCGCTTTATCTCCGAGGAAAGAGCCCTTGATATGAAGCTGAGTGGGCCTAATTTCCTCTATGGACGCTGAGGAATAGAGAAAATTCTCTTATTCCTGCCGGGAATTGAACTCCGGCCTTACAACCCATAGCCCGCCACTATATCGGCTGAGCTATCGCGGCTTTAGAGTGAAAATAAATAAAGGAATATATACGAGTACATCATTTCACGGTAAGAAACAAATAAACATGTATATAATTGGGTCGACAGAGGGAAAGTTTTAAATTATAGTTTACTGTACAGGAGACATACACGTATGTGAGTTACGGCGCTAACCGTGCCTGGCCCGGCCGAACAGAGACACGCACACACCCACACTTTACACGACATCTCACCTCGGAATTACAATTCACCTCAAGCTGCAGGAAGCTCTTTCCGTGATGTCGAGACAACAGTTCAGAAAGTTCGATTAGGAGGTCATAAAATTATTTTGCTCCTACAGGAAGCTCCGCAAACACGTACACCGTTGTATTCTTATTTGCATGTAAGACTGGGAGTATAATTAGTTCTTGAACAAAAAAGAATAAATTTTATTTTTATATCTTAACACATCGACCGCCTCTGTGGTCTAGTGGTTATAGTTCCTGACTACAGATCCAGAGGTCTGGGTTAGATTCCCAGCGCTACCACATTTTCTGAGAAGTAGTTGGTCTGGAACGGGGTCCAGAGGATAATTGAGGAGCTATTTCAAGGAAATAGTGGCTCCAGTCTATAAAACCAAAATTAACGGCCTTGGGTAGCCGTTGCGCTGACCACGTGACAACCTCCATCGATAAAGTTTGTACTAACTTCGCCGACAAGCGGCGGTCGCTCGGTCGGTATAGTTCCCTAGCCGACTAAAACCACGGAGTTCGTTTTTGTTTTTATATCTTTAAGGTGGGAACATAGTGTTTGAGAACAGAGTACTGAGGACAATATTTGGACCGAAGAGGGATGAAGTGACGGGAGGTGTGGAGAAAACTACGTAACGCGAAACTCTATAACTTGTAGCCTTTTCCAAGTATAATTAGAACGATCAAGTCAAGGAGGATGAGATGGGCATAGCATGTAACACGATTGGGGAGAACAGAAATACATACATGATTTTGGTGAGAAAGCCAGAAGGAAAGAGACCACTGGGAAGACCAAAACATAAGAAGGTAGATAAGGTTAAAATGGATTTAGAGAGAAAGACTAGGATGGTACAAACTGGATTGATCTGGATCAATATAGGGATTATTGGAGGACTTTTGTGAACACGGTAATGGACCTTCGCGTTCCATAAAATGTTGGTAAAAAGTAAAGTAAAGCTATCCCTGTACCAGGCCGTGAAGGCCCATAGGATTGTGAGACGTTGAGGGTCCCACATTATCTAGAAAATCGGCTCAAAGATGGCGGCAAGGTTGTCAGCCTTAAGCGCCGCCCGCGCTTTACTCCCCAGGAAAATTATTTATTTAATTCTTGGTACTCATTTCTGTTAGAGGCTGAGTAAACCTCAGGGCCATAGTGCAGCTGGAAGGATTAGGTCGATTGAAAAATATCCAATGACTTCATCGGGACTTGAACCCGCGATCTTCCGGCTTGTAGCATAGCCCCTCAACAAAATGTTGGTAAATTCTTAAGTAGCTGCACAACTGGTGGCTTCTCAAGTAGTACTCAGCTGTATGAAGTTAGTTATTGTGTCCTGTGTAAGTACAGGTCTTGCGTTCCCCTGCACAGATATTCCGAAACGGCGTTTTCATACAGAGTTCGGAATCGGAGACAATCGGAAGTTCTAACCTCCGAAAGTCGAAGAAAAATGTATAAAAGTAACCTACTACTTGAAGGGCGCTCAAATTCAAGAGTCTATCTCCGACTTCCAATCAGGCATCAAAACATTTTTGCCTGAGAAAGAGATAATCTATGTAAGGAAGTAGTGCAGATGCTTAGAGAGATATTGCAGGACTTCGAAGTTCTATAGCGATTGGGCCCAAATGTACGGACGAAGTCATAAAATGGAACAAAACATTTTAAATATTCTGTACAGTCGTCTTACGCTACTAAAATATAACATCTGAATTACTTTAAAATCTACATTGGTAGAAATTTTGTTATAAAACAGGCCCACAAAAGTAATTTTATGTTGAGGAAATTATTGGATGTCATAAGATGGTTTATCAGATAAATGCTTTCGTAACATATCGGTTTGCCCCTTAACACTCTACAACTTCTTCGACACCTCTGTATAGTAGGAAGTATAACGTGTTATCTGCAGGCGCTTACTATTTACTCCGTATGTATGCGTTCCTGCAGGCGTGGGATGGTAAAACCAGACAGGTCGTCAAAAAGCATAGGTCAAGTGCACTCCGAGCTTCAATATATATCATGTGTGGTATTACCTGACAACACGCCACGTGACTGGTAGGTAGAGGTGGTGTTTTCCTTATTGATCTCTTGTCCCACACTGATATCTCGAGGAAAATCACGTCCCTAACCTACAAAAGAGAAAATCAATATAATTTTTTGTGCAGTAATAATACTCATATTGTGTTCCTCTGGGTGATGATATCGTATAGTCGGGTAGATTGGGGCAAAAAAGTTTCGGGTAACGTACTGCCTCCATCTTCAGGACTTAACCATAAGGGACACAAATGATTCTATGAGAACATACTGCCCCTACCTTCAAGATATCACCATGTGAATAGGGGCACCAGATTTATCCGAAATCTTAGACGCCATCTACCAGAACACATGATGTCATCACCCACAAGACATGAATATTAATCTTCAGTGGAATGAGACCCTCAAATATTATATAAGAAACAATTGTATTTTCTGAACAAGCAACGAATGAACAAGCCAAAAATCCCTTGAGCAATAGGAGTCAAGGATATACAAATTGTGACATTAAATCTCTAGCCATATATGCTTCTAAGCTACCCCAGTTCCTCTCTTTCATTTGCGCTGCAGGCCCCCCCCCCCCACAAANTAGATATTCGGTAGGACTCCTTGGGTGGGTGATCAGCTCGTCGCAAGGCCTCTACCTGTACATAAACACAGAAAAACGCGCGCGCACACACACACACACACAAACACCAAACATCCACGCCCTGAGTGGGATTCGAATTCACGATCCCGGCTTCAAAGCAAGAGAAGAGAGTGCATGCCTTAGACTGCTTGGCTACAGTGACCGGCATCCGAGTCCCTTTAACAACCTCAAGAACATTTGACTCTTGGTCTTCCAGGTAATTCTTTAACAGTTTTTTTTCTTGCCTAGAGTCTGTACGTATTTCTTTCTTGCGCAAATGTGTCCCTTCCCCACTTCATCAAAATCCTTACCGTGGATCATTGTCATGGCAGAACTACGTGGGCAGTTTAGTGGACGTTCCCTGTTACGTAACAACCTGTTCCCCGGCAACGGCGTCTCCCTTACAGAAGAATATTATTTTAGCTTATCTATCCACAGAAGTAATGAGCAATGCTATGAAACTATCTTGCCATTGGAGGTGATTCCAACTTTGAAACTAACACTTCCCTGCCGGTAACAACACCAACATGGCGGCCGTAAATTAATCTGAGTTCAGTAGCACAAGAAACACTCCATGCAGCATCCCAAAATATTGTGTGCTAAAACGCGTTTAAAAAGACATATGTAAGGGAGATATAATATCATGGCGCCTCTGTTCACTGTTTCTATTAGGGATAATTGACGAAACACTGTTGGAATACACGTTAAATTTGTATGCTCACATAAAAGGATGATACGTATGATGTGATATCATTTTTTGGTGTTGGTGTACGTTAAATATTAGAACAAGACGAAGAAGAGATGTATGTAGGCATTGCGTGACAACGTTCAGAGAGTTGAAATGTATAGTAACAGATATTTTATGGTCAAATTAAGGTCTCTATATGTGTACACTTACAGTTTAATGGTTTATTTTAGGTTTTCTTCAGAAGGAATCATTTGACGGGCAACTTCATGGATACTTGCTTAATATTTTTTGTATCAGGATTCCATCTCGCGGACAATCAGAGTTATTTTTCCTATCGGGATTTGTTTCTGAACACTGTAGACTGTTGCATGAAGAAATATAACATTTGTACGCTAGAACATGGTTTTAATATCAGGACAGGGGGCCGATAGTGGTCTTTCAGCAGCTACAATAGACTTCAAATTGGGGTGTAAACTGATGTTTATGTAAACGCGAGCGATGTATCGATCCAACAACACGAGCCATTGTACTGTTTATTGCTATTCCAGAGACATGAGATCGAATCTCAGAAGACGTTTCGTGACTGAGTTTCAGGGTTTCGTGTTATATGCTGATCATGTGTGTTTAATAGTTAAAGCAGGGATACACAAAATGTGTAGAAATGTGGCAGAAATTGTAAATAATAAAAGTAAACCATATATAAATTAGGATAAATGTAAATTTACATTAGGATAATATTGTGACGAATAGACCCAATGCTAGGCAATGTCTGAGTATTCCGCGGCAAAGAATACGCAACACTAGAGGACAACCGTTGTTAGGCGATCGATGTATTTTCTGCGTGGTACGACCCGAGGCCATATAACGAGAAATCAGCAACAACTGACAGTTCAGTTCATTTGGGAGTATGAATAGCCCGAGAGTGTAGTGGATTAGCGCGGTCAGAATTCGAGAATGTCTAATCGAAAATAGTGATGTGTGAAATGTTGTAAAAAGTTGTATAAATGTCCAATAAATTCGATCATCAAATCCAAAACCCGTTATTAGTAGTCACGCAAAACCCTAACATGTGACAATATTAAAATGAATCTTAGAGACAAAAGATTGGGTGGTATAGACTGGTTCAATCTGGCTCAGTGGAGGGTTCTTGTGCACACGGTAATGAAGCTTCGGGTTCCATAAAATGTTAGGAAATTCTTGAGAGGTTGCACAACTGGTGGCTTCTCAAGAAGGGTGACAAGCTGAAAGCTTGTCTTCATAGTGTCCACGAACATTGGTACTTATAATGCATAATCAGGTCACCTGTACCTGCAACCCGAAGGATCTACCGTACCGTTTTTCGTCTGTTATAAAAAATGAGGCTGGACTCTGTATAGTTGGTTGTTTATCGTTTATTCAAAGATAACATCAGTAGCTTAATCTAAGTAACAATAAATTTTAGCAGGATAAGTGAAAGATAAACTAGAGTGGGTGTGGAAGCAAGAACTCATTACCTAATTTGATGTATTATTTCCGAGTTTTCATGATGAACTGAAGAACACTAGGAAAATTTTCAGTAAGGATAACCGATTTCTGACTACCTGAATAAGGAACTGAGTGGTGGGCTCTGCAGACTGAAACATATAATTGCAAAGCGACTTCACTTACGTCTACCAGTGTTAATGGCATGGGAAGGAACCATGGCCATCACCAACACCTCATTCCTCCATCACTTGAAATTATTCTGATTATTTCAGTTCAATTTAAATGCCAAACAAACTGACGAAGTATCCTCTCCAAATATCTAGCGTCTTGTTCTCTGAAGTGACCTTGAGGAGGCTTTTATATTGACTAATACCGACTTTACTAACACTTCCTTCCACATCATTGTATCTGCTTCCGGTTCATTTCTTCTCAGCATTTTATTTTCATACGCTTTTCTTTCTTCTTTGAAAGCAGAAATCTTTTTGTATACAGGAAACATATCGTCACATGTTTATGGTTCCGTGACCAATAATAACGGGTTTTGGATTGGATAATTGGATTTATTAACACCTTCTTTTACAGTCTCTCTTAATCACAATCAATCTTTAACCGAACCCTTCTCCTCGACTGCCGAGGACTTACTCCATTCTCGTCCTTATTCTTTTTCTATTCTCATTTTATTTGGTTCTGTACCACTTACAAACTCTCGAGGTGGACCCATAGAGAACATGTCCGTTGCCTAGCATTGGATGCCCTCTATTGTTAGTTACGTATTTGTTGTAGGCTTCACCAGCAACGGGCTGCTTACAAAGAATATGTCTCCGAGAGCACGTGTTTATCGAGCCGTTGCCTAGCAGTAGGACGATACGTCACAATATATCAGTACTCTTTACACTTAATCGCGACCTTTTTAAACACAATGACATGGAGAATTCTTATTTAACCTTAGCGTGTGTTACCCGAGTTTGTCCTGCTTTTTCATTACCTCTGCTAGCGTTTAATGTAACTTCTGTGTTATTTTAGTTAAACAAATATGTTCTACCTTCACAATTTACAGAGCGACATTGAATAAACCAATAAAAGTCATTACTCATGTTAACTTTAACGACGCCAATGAACAATAGAACTTTGCATAGTAGCCAGCTCGACCGGGGGTTTCAGGCGTGATCTGTCCTCATTACTCACAGCGGAGCGAGGGCTATGTGAACCACCCTCTCGCATCCTCTCTGTGGAAAAAAGTTCACACACGCATTTCAGTAATTTTATTCCTAAATGCAGGAACTTTGCTGAAGGATACCTTAGACTTTCAAATATTCCAAAATGCAGTAATTACGAACATAGAATATTAACAAATTTAGCAACAGAATGACGCTCTAGCAGTAGAACATAAATTTTCGACATCAATAGCAATAACGCATTTGTTTAGATCACTGCGGTCCTAAATGTTTAATATTCTACATTTCATAGCATTTTTATTATCTCTTAGAATAAAGTAAAGACACAGAAACAACCACCAAACATATTATAAAATTATTCGATTCGATTTCTTAGTATTCATAACTTTGAAAAGCACGTGAGACTAAGGCGTATGTGGGTGGACAATATTAGAATGAATCTTAGAGAGATAGGATGGGATTGTATGGATTGGATAGATCTGGCTCAGGATAGGGACCGCTGGAGGGCTCTTGTGAACATGGTAATGAACCTTCGGGTTCCATAAAATGCTGGGAAATTCTTGAGTAGCTACAGAATTGGCGGCTCCTCCAGAAGGGCTCCGTGAGTAAGTAAGTGAGTAAAATATTAAAACAGGTTACTCGGCGGCTAAGTATGTTTCGTTGTAATCGAGAATGTCGAACTGCCAGTGATGGGGGTTTGCTGTCCTCAATATTTTAAGTCGTGTTTGATTTGCACTCTTCTTGTTGCTATGTGAGGGATTGAGCATTTCGTGGCTATTGAGCTGTGTTTTTATTCCTCGTGGTCATGACAATAATATTGTGGCAATGGTTCCGTATTATTGTTATTGTTGTATTGACTGCCCCATTTGAAACTACGTTATGACACACAACGGGATGCATATTTTACAAATGAATAACAAATGTTTCCGAAATTATTCTTCTGAAATTTTCAACGCAAATCTAATTTATATTTATTATTGTTGTTACAACATACGACCGAATAGAACTTTGAAACATTTTCAGATAATTTATTGTGACTTTATTACAAATATTTTGTATCACACTTTGCTGTTACACAGAACTGTTCTGACTCCAAATTCAGGATTCAATAATCAGCATCATTCATGGAGCAGAGCCTTT